ACTCTTCTCCCTCTCCCTCAATATCCTCCTCCCCCTCCCCCTCCCCCTCCTGACGCGGCAGCTGTTCTTCCGTTCCGGGATCTGTAGCTGTGTACGTTGCCGCGATGACCGGTCACTAGGGGTCACCCGGAGTCAGCATCTTACTTCTTCTCCTACAATACTGGTCTTAGCTTGGAGCATCCTTCTTTCTAGGGTTTTTGCTTCGCGTCAATCGGCTATACTTCGCCGTACCCCCTCCTCCTCCCCCCGTCGTGGTTCGTCTTTCCCCCTACCTGCCCCCCCGGCCCCGCCCCGGGCTCCCCCACCACCACACACACACGCACATACACACACCTTGAGCAGCTCGTGCAGCGCGGGCGTGTCCCCCATCTCCACCGCGTTAGGAGTGACAGCTTGGAGGAGCGCCTCTTTGAGCCGCCTGGGGACATGTACGGCGACATGTACGTCAGTGCGCGTACGGATACCACGAATGAAAACGTATCCCATCACACCCCGACATACATACATACACACATACATACACGTACCCAGCCCAGCCTCGCTCCCAGCCCCCTATCACCGCTACTCACTTTCGAATGGTGTTGTTGAAGGCGGTGATCCCGATGCCCTTTTCAATACACTCGATGATGAAGGCCTTATCCGCGGACACCGTGGCCTGGTCAGGCAGTACGGCAATACCAGCAAAATACGACAGCAGCAACCGGCAGGCCGGGTGCATCAACGACCGGCATGACATCGTCGTCGTCATTCCCCCCGAGCGGCAACACCGGGCCGCAACACACGTACAGCAGGTACAGCACGCATGTAAGCAACGTCTTCCGTACACGCCGTACATCCCTTCAGCTGCTGTACTCCTATCACTTCCATCAAGTGACACAACTCCCCCCATCCCCCCCTCGCAGCCCTCCCCTCCTCGCAACCCCACCTGGGCTGTACGGACTTCAATGCTATTGCTAATAATCTGCGGAGGGAGGGGAAACAAGGGGCGAGGGGGAACATGGTTTTTTTGGGGTTTTGGAGGTTGTGTGGGGGATGCCTAGCTCGCGAGGGTGGGGCCGACAAGAGGGGTGTGTCCACAAGACGGGGCACGCATCGACCATCCATCGACATGTTCACAGGGGCTGCGGACACATACATACATACATACATACATACATACATACATACATACCGCACCTGCACCGTCTGAACCCTCGTGTCTTTGCTGTCCTTGACGTCCACCACCACCTCAAACTCCACACCTGGAGGTGAGGGGGGGCCGTGGGGGGGAAAGGAGGGGGAGGTGGGGGGCGAGGGGGGAGGGTGTTG